CACTACGCGGCGGCGCGCTGGGCCGAGAGCGCGCGGGCGCTGGAGGCCAGTCTGCGCCTCCACCGCCTGCTGCGCGACAGCGAGGGACACTGTCACCGCCGCTGCGCCGAGAGCCCCGTGGAGCCCGCGGAAGCGGCCGCGGAAGGCGCCGCGGAGCCGCCCGCCGAGTGGGAGCAGGAGCTGCGGCTCTTCGGGCGGCTGCTGCGCCGCGCCGGCTGCCTGCGCGCCTGCAAGCGCGGCCTGCCCGTCTTCCAGCTGCGCTACCCGCCCGCGCAGACGCTGCGCGACTTCCAGCGCCGCCTGCCCTACCAGTACCTGCACTATGCGCTCTTCAAGGTGAGGAGCGGAGCGGGGGGGGGTTAGTGTGTGTGGGGGGGCTGCGCACATGCGGCACCTCCGTCCTGCTTCCCGCATTCCCCCGTCTTGCAGCCCTTTGCTTGGCAGCCTCTGCAGAGCGCTGCTGTGCTGCACTCCTCCACCCCGCAGCTCCCCTTCCACACGTCCATGCTGCAGCCCTCACCCAGCCCCCTTCCTGTCCCCCCAAGTCCTGCCCCTTGCCTGATGTCCCCCAGCCGGCTCCTCCATCCTGCCCCGGCGCCGCCGCACGTCGGCCTCCTCTGGGAGCATCCGGCAGGACCCGTGGGCTGCGCTGGGGATGAGGAGCTGCTTGACCTGCTGCTCTCCCCTGCACACAGCCCCTTCTGAGGGGTCCCGGGGGCTCCCCATGTCCCACCGGGGACCACAGCAGCCCCCACCGTGGAGCTCCACTGCCCTCACAGGGCTGCCTGCAAGGGGAGGCTTCCAGGATGTGACTTGGTTCCCAGGATGGCTCTGGATCAGGGCTGGTTGGGAGTCCCGGGACTGGTGCTTTGTGCAGGTCTGCGGACGCAGGACCCCCAGGAGCGGCTGGCGTGTGGGCAGCACGGGCTGGGAGCGCAGCCGGCTGCTTGAGCCCTTTCCCTCCCCTTCCTCCTCCTTCCCGACCCCTTCCCCGCAGCAGCCCCGTTGGGGGCCTGCACTGCTGAAGTGCCACGTTCCCGGCCGCGGCTCTGCGCAGGCTCTGGCAGCCGGTGCTGTGAGGACCCTACACATGGGAAGGGACAAGAGCTGGAGTCTCCGGCCAGCACCCCGGCCACCTGCCCCGCAGCTTTGGGCACCTGCGCCGCTGTCCCTGCGGCTCTGAGCAGGCTCCACTGCCTGCTGCCTCCTGTCAGCTTGGGGGATTCAATGGGGAGGGAACACGGGCAGGAGGAGCAACCTCCTCTGGGCAGCACCGGCTCGGGGTCCAGCATCCCCATCCAGACCCGTGTCTGGAGCAGCTCCTGCCTGGCTGGTGGGGCAGACATGGAGGTGACCGCTCCGTTCACCACGTCGCTGCAGCTGGGCAGGGGGAATCGCTGTAGCGAACGGCACTGGATGGCATCACGGGGCCACCGTCGCTGGCTGCATCCCGCGCACGGCCGCCTGCTCGCTGGCAAGGAGAGGGACAGCGTGTCCCTCCTTAATGCGTTTCCCTTCTGCTCGCGCTGGCCGGGCCCGCGCCGGGAGCAGCTCCGCGCTCCCCGTTCCGGCCGCCCACCCCTTTGGCCTCCGCAGTGCAACAAGCTGGAGAAGGCGGTGGCGGCAGCGCACACCTTCCTGCAGAAGAACCCCGCGCACGAGATGACACGCAGGTACCTGCACTACTACCGCACCATGGTGGACGTGGACGAGCACCTCGTGGACCTGGAGGCGCAGCCCTACGAGGTGGGCCGGGGACGGCGGGCGCGGAGGCGCCGCCGCCGCCGGGGCTGAGCGCGCCGCCCTCCTCCGCTGCAGCCCACCTTCGTGCGCGCCGTGAAGCTCTACAACGGCGGCGATTTCCGCAGCAGCGCGGCGCACATGGAGCAGGCGCTGGCCGAGTACTACAAGGCCTACGAGAGCTGCCTGGCCGGCTGCGAGGGCGCCCGCGAGCTCCAGGACTTCAAGGACTTCTACCCGGCGGTGGCAGGTGGGTTGGGGACGGCCGGTGACGGGGCCGGGAGGGCACAGTGCCTCACACCCCGCCCCGGTCCCCGCAGACCTCCTGGCCAGCGTGCTGCACTGCAAGGTGGACTGCGAGGCCGAGCTCACGCCCAACGTGGGCGGCTACTTCGTGGAGAAGTTCGTGGCCACCATGTACCACTACCTGCAGTTCGCCTACTACAAGCGTGAGTGCGGGGGCGGCGGGGGCGCCGCGGGGGCCCCTGCCCGTCCCACGTGCCGCTCGCCCCGCAGTGAACGACGTGCGCAACGCGGTGCAGAGCGTCGCCAGCTACATGCTCTTCGACCCGGCCGACGCCGTCATGCAGCAGAACCTGGTCTACTACCGCTTCCACCGGCAGCGCTGGCACCTGCAGGACGAGGATTTCCAGCCCCGGGTGGTGAGCGCCGCAGCGGGCGCTGTCCCCGTGGGTCCCTGCTGTGGTGGCGGTGACATCCCAGGTGACATCCCACCCATTGTTTGCCCACAGGAGGCCGTGCGGTACCACAACCAGACAGTTGCGCTGAGGACGATGCTGGACTTTGCCCAGCAGCACCTGCAGGCTGATGATGAGGTAGGTGGCACCCGTGCCCGCGGCCCCAGGGGGGTGCCAGCCCCGACACTCCTGCCCGTGTCCCCGCTGCAGATGGAGGTGGATGGTGACGAGGAGTCCGACACGCAGGATCTACCCTCGGACGGCGAGTTTGAGGGTGAAGGCGACTATGAGGAGGGCTTTGTGGCGGAGTGGTGGCAGGAGCCTCGGACCAAGGGGGACAAGGATGAGGAAGGTGACAAGGATGACAAGGATGGGGACAAGGATGAGCTGGGGGGTCTGAGGTGGCCACACTGCACTGACACCGCTGCTTCCTTGCAGAGACCCTCCAATGAGGGAGGCGCAGGGGGACCGCGGCCCCACGTCGCTTCGCGGGTGCTGCGGGACGGACGAGCTGCCGAGCTCCGCACTGAGCCCCTGCCTGTCGCAGGGCACCCCTGGGTAGCCCAGGCTGCTGGCGGGGCCAGGGGCCCCCGGCTGCTCCAAGTGCCCACTCCCACATGGGTCGCCTGCCGGGGGGCCTGGCGTGGGGCCGCGGGGCCCCCCATGTGCCTTGGCTCTCCCCAGCCCAGCCTGCCGTGGCCTTAAGCTCCGTTAATTTAATACTTCCCGTCTTGAGCGATTGCTTTTTTATTTACTGGTGCTGAACTTTGAATAAAAACCAGACCCGTGTTTTCAGGGCGGCCTCTTCCGTGGGCGCGACGGCAGCTCGGTGGGGGAGGCGTTTGGCACGGGAGGAACAAGCCTGGCCCTGGGGGTGACCTGGGGAGGGTCCCTGCATCCCCCTCAGCAGCTCCCGCGGGTGTCGGGGTCCCCGGGGGCTGCGGGAGCCGCCGCTGCCGCCGCCCGGTCCCGACAAGCCGGTGCCTGCCCGGCCGGGAGCCGGGCCCGCCGCGCTGGCTCCGAGCACTGAAACCGAGCGGTGAATCAGCGCGTGGGCCCGCGGGCGGGCGGGCCGGGCCGGGCGGTGCCGGTGCGGCGGGAGGCGGGGGGAGCCCCCCGGCCCAGCGCCACGAGGGGCGGCCCCGCCGCTCTCGGCCGCACGGGGGGTCCCGGGAACCCCCCCCGGTTCCTCCCCGCGGGAGGCGCCGGGGAAACCAGGCGGGGGTCCCCGTGGTCACGGACCCCCGCCCGGAGGCCGGGAAGGGCCGTCCCCGTCCCCCGCCCTCGCCGGTGCAGACCCGGCTGTGCGGGGAAGGGGCGGGCAGATGTGTGCGGGGGGGGGCGGGCAGATGTGCGCAGCTGGGGGGCGCGGAACTGGGGGTCCCCGCACCCCCCTGACGCGCAGAGGGTCCCGCTGGGGTCCCCTCCGGGGGTGCTCGTGCCCCCTGCACCCCCCATGGGGTCCCTGCGCCCCCCACGGTCCCATGGGGTCCCATGGGGTCCCAGTCCCGCCCCGGGGAATCCCAGAGGAGGGTCCCGGCCCCTGCAAAAATCCCGCCCCCTAGCAAGCCCCGCCCCCTGTCGCGAGAGCCTCTCTGGCCCCGCCCCCTGCC